ATGGTTTATAATGGCAAATGATACTTTGAATATTACATGTTAATAACTTGATTGGAATTATAACCTTGAGTTGACAGTTTGATACTTTGAAAATTTTGAGCCAGCCCTACCCCCAAGGGCTGTAGGGTGGGGCTCAAGGGAGTCAGTGTGCTAAAATTTCTTCATTTTCCTTGTTTAGAATCAGAGGTGCTAGTTTCAAATCCTTTTTAGTCTGAAATCTGTATGCTTGATATTGAATAAGGTGGTTTTATTGTTTTTTTTCACTTTGAATAATATTTCTGTTCATGTTAAAAACGAAATCAACTCTGTATAAATATATCAGGTGACCGCTAAGGCCCATGGGCCTCTTGTTTTGTTGGAGGTTTATGTAAAATCTAAAGTCTTATGTAAAATTTAAAGTCTTATGTAAAATCTAAAGTCTTATGTAAAATCTAAAGTCTTATGTAAAATCTGAAGTCTTATGTTAAATTTAAAGTCTTATGTAAAATCTAAAGTCTTATGAGATGGCTAACTTGGGAGGCACTGTCAAAACAAAATGTAGGTAAGCTCGAAAAGAAAAGATCTCATTTGTTGTATTGGGGCATCAGATCAGTACTAGTTAGGGCCCCATATCAGAGATACGGGTGCCCTATAGTAATCACTCAGTCTGTCTGTCTGTCTGTCTGTCTGTCTGTCTGTCCGTCCACAAATTATGTTCCTGGCTGATAACTTTGGTATTTATTGACCGATGTATTTATTGACCGATGTACATGAAACTTGGTCAAGATGTTCAGTTCACAAAAATACACAATCAGGTAAAAAGTCAAGGTCAAAGGTCAAGGTCATTATGTTCAAAGGTCAAGGTCAAATTTTACATCGTTTCACGGATGAACATTTTGTTATGACATTATGAAGCAAAGTTGATCAGAATTAAACAAGGAGTCAACTCAACTGACCAAAGGTCAAAGTCATCGGGTCAGGGGTCAAGGTCAAATTTTGTAGCTTTTCACTGGTGAACATTTCGCTATGACATTATGAAGCAAAGTTGTTCAGAATTAAACAAAGAGACACAGTGAGGTAAAAAGTCGAGTTCAAAGGTCAAGGTTAAAATTTGCATCTTTTTACTGATGAACATTTTGTTATGACATGATGAAGCAATGTTGTTCAGAACTTAACACAGAGTCAACTGACCTTAGGTCCAGGTTACGGGGTCCAAAGGGTCAAGGTCAAGTTTCGTATTTTTCACTGATGAACATTTTTTTATGATATCAAGAAGCAAAGTTGGTCGGAATTAAAGAATAAGTCAACTGACCAAAGATCAGGGTCACTGGGTTAATGGTCAAGGTCATTTGTGTTCAAAGGTCAAAGACAAAGTTGATTTCTGACTTTGACCCTGGCTCATGATGGAGGAGGTATAAAAGGTGAAATAAAACAAATCAACGCTAACAAATGAGGATTGCACCGGTATTTACATTTCTGTTAGCCCAGCAAATATGGAGGTGGAAGGAAACAAGACTCACATCATAGTACATGTAAAATGTATATTTTGCTTCCTTGCCATTCGTTTTGAAGTCCAAATGTCAAACATCAAGCTCAGCTATATGGGCAGATTACTTCTTGATGATTATGGGGGATATATTGCCACAAGACGGGGCCCTAACTGACCTGTCAGTGTTCTAGTTTTCTCACTGTCCCAGCAGAAACAACACCGAAGAAATTCACTGTATCTGCATGGCATGGGGAGACACTTAGGTCAACTCTCACAATAATGTGGCCTATTCTTTCCCCGAACCTAGAAGGGCAAATTTTATTTAAAAGTCATTCTCATATTTGAAACAAAATTTGTTTATACTATTTGAATTTTAATGGATTCATTTAAATGTTAAGATAACACTGAGTTGAAAATTTGACGACACATTTTTTCGAAAAGTTTATAACATCATCATATTTTAATAAAGGTAATATATTACTTTTAGATTGCACCCAATAAAATATGCAAAATTACTCTTAGGTGCTTTTCATTGCATAATAAGTAAGTTTTCTAACACATTACACAGGTATAAGTATTTATATGCCTAATTTAATAGATGTATAATTCTTCACTATAGAATCAGCATGCATATCATTGATGTTAATATAGAGTGACATGATATTTACAACAAGATAACTAGAAGCTCCATGTAGGTGTACATCAAACGTTTGTACTGTATCGTACAGGTAATCAATGCAATGAATAAATCACTGTTTTGATGTGCATTATTAAAAGTTTTTATTGAAAATAAAGCATATTCTGAGAAGTAAATCAGCTAAATTTTTCCCTGTCGCCCACTGGTAGTCCCTCAAATTTTTTAAGTAAGAGCATAAAAAAGAATTAATTCTACAACATATTTTATTTAGGTTTGTTGACTGCCTCAGTACCTCGTGTTGTGAAGAATGAGTCAGTGTATATCAACAAACTGGACGGAATGACTGCTAACGTCGTCACTTTCTCTCGCATGGAGAAGATGCAGTTAGAATATGTACTTCTGTGGTATCTCACCAAGACTCTCCACTCCAAAAACCTTCATCTTGGTTACAAAGGTATGTTAAGGCCACATTGAATGGCTTGGGTTTTGAGATTTTGGTGTCACATGACTTGAAAATGAGGCTTGAGAATTTTTTTCAACACTCCAAAAACCCTAATTTAAATACAAAAGAATATCCTGGTTACAAAAATAATAATAATAAAAATAATCTTATATACCGCTTTATCACAACCTAGTTCTCAGGTCGCACAAAGCGGTTCACAAATTAATCCATGGTTATAGGGCCTTTGCAACCAGCCAATATCTTAACTCCCTGGGGAGCATACAGCCGGTGCTGCCAATTTGGCACTCATAGCTAGCATTCAACAATTTTAGCACTGCCCAACCACATACTGATTAACAGCTAAGTAGACTGGAACAAGCGGAGTAAAGTATCTTGCTCAAAGATACAACACAGTGCCGTGACGTGACTCGAACCCGCAACCCTTTGATCATATCAGACATATTATGACATCAGAACTAAAACAGTTTATCAGACATATTGTGACATCAGAACTAAAACAGAATTTCGGACATAGTGTGACATCAGAACTAAAACAGCTTATCAGACATATTGCGACATCAGAACTAAAACAGTATTTCGGACATAGTGTGACATCAGAACTAAATCGGTATATCAGTCATATTGTGACATCAGAACTAAAACAGAATTTCGGACATAGTGTGACATCAGAACTAAAACAGCTTATCAGACATATTGCGACATCAGAACTAAAACAGTATTTCGGACATAGTGTGACATAGTGTGACATCAGAACTATAACAGTATATCAGACATAGTGTGACATGAGAACTAAAACAGTATATCAGACATACTGTGACATCAGAACTAAAACAGTTTATCAGACATAGTGTGACATCAGAACTAAATCGGTATATCAGTCATATTGTGACATCAGAACTAAAACAGTTTATCAGACATATTGTGACATCAGAACTAAAACAGTATTTCGGACATAGTGTGACATCAGAACTAAAACAGATTATCAGACATAGTGTGACATCAGAACTAAAACAGTTTATCAGACATAGTTTGCCATCAGAACTAAAACAGGATATCAGACATACTGTGACATCAGAACTAGGACAGTATATCAGACATACTGAGACATCAGAACTAGAACAGTATATCAGACATAGTGTGACATCAGAACTAAAACAGTATATCAGACATACTGTGACATCAGAACTAGAACAGTATATCAGACATACTGTGACATCAGAACTAAAACAGTTTATCAGACATAGTGTGCCATCAGAACTAAAACAGTATATCAGACATAGTGTGACATCAGAACTAAAACAGTATATCAGACATATTGTGACAACAGAACTAAAACAGTTTATCAGACATAGTGTGACATCAGAACTAAAACAGTATATCAGACATAATGTGACATCAGAACTAAAACAGTATATCAGACATAGTGTGACAACAGAACTAAAACAGTATATCAGACATACTGTGACATCAGAACTAGAACAGTATATCAGACATAGTGTGACATCAGAACTAAAACAGTTTAACAGACATAGTGTGACATCAGAACTTAAACAGTATATCAGACATATTGTGACAACAGAACTAAAACAGTTTATCAGACATAGTGTGACATCAGAACTAAAACAGTATATCAGTCATAGTGTGACATCAGAACTAAAACAGTTTATCAGTCATAGTGTGACATCAGAACTAAAACAGTTTATCAGACATAGTGTGACATCAGAACTAAAACAGTATATCAGTCATAGTGTGACATCAGAACTATAACAGTTTATCAGACATATTGTGCCATCAGAACTAAAACAATATATCAGACATAGTGTGACATCAGAACTAAAACAGTTTATCAGACATATTGTGACATCAGAACTAAAACAGTATATCCGACATAGTGTGACATCAGAACTAAAACAGTATATCAGTCATAGTGTGACATCAGAACTAAAACAGTTTATCTGTCATAGTGTGACATCAGAACTAAAACAGTATATCAGACATAGTGTGACATCAGAACTAAATCAGTATATCCGACATAGTGTGACATCAGAACTAAAACAGTATATCAGACCTAGTGTGGGACATCAGAACTAAAACAGTATATCAGACATAGTGTGACATCAGAACTAAAACAGTAGATGATTTTGTTGAAATGATTTATTTTTTTAAGATTTGCCTCATAACACTCATATGAAATGTTGGTTAAATTCAGTGATTAACCTAATAATTTCTTTGTAGGCCATCTGATCAACTTTGAGGCTGACCAAGCGTTCCAGGACACAAGTCTGGACCTGTTGGGCTACTTCCATCACTGCCAGTTCCCTAACGTCGTGTATAAGGCCATGTACTGTTTCAAGTGTTCAGCCAAAGCTGGGCAGTCATTACACTCAATCTGCTCTCTAGGGATGGAGGTGAGTATCTTATAAACAACGTAGACTTGAGATTTTTATGCATCTGCCATTTTATTAAGGGAGATGCATATTGTGTGACCCGTGTCCCCTAGCATCTGGATTTAACGTCATAACTCTATCCACTCCATGTTTTAACATACTTTCCAAGGTGTATACAAAGGTCAGGTATACGTTGGATGAGGGATGAGTTTGTATTTCAGGGTCCAAAGGTCAATGCCGTCATCACCGCTGCTATTTATATGTCAACCATGGCTATTTATAGGTCACTGCTGCTATTTATAGGTCAACCATTGCTAATTTGTCAGTTTCATTGTTATCTGTCTACTGACTTCAGAAACAAAATCGCACGAGCAATTTATTATTAACTTTATATCGCTAGTCCTGAGAATGCTAATGATCATTTGACATGATATAACAGTCAGTCTGTAAATTTCCCAATTAAATAGATTGGACTCATTTTAAGGAACTTCCCAAAAGGAGGGTGAACGATATTTTCAGAATAATTGGCAAAAATCTGATAAAAGCTTATCGAACTTAAGATATTAGGTAAAACTTGGGTAACATTGAAAGACAAGTTCATAGAAATCTACACAGATCTTGCTTATCCAACGGGTTGTTGATATTGATATAAGAATAAAACCTACAAAATATCTTCCTACAAGAAATTTAGCTAAACCTAAATTCTGTTATTAAAAACTATTTTGTTTGTATTTCTTTACCTATTTAACAGGTGATTGATCAGGTGTTGGATGCCGGATATGAGAGACCAGACATTTATGTCAATCATCTGAACTCAGAGGAAATTGCCACTCAGATTAACGTTGCAGCCGGAAAAATTCTCCAGCTTGTTGACATGTGTATCAAGGCTTTTGGAAGGGAAAAGGTTCTCTACTGATGGGAAATGGTTCTCTACTGATGGGAAATGGTTCTCTACTAATGGGAAATGGTTCTCTTCTAATGGGAAATGGTTCTCTACTGATGGGAAATGGTTCTCTTCTGATGAGAAAAGGTTCTCAACTGATGAGAAAAGGGAGTCTGCTGCGGATGTCATTTTTTCTACACAAAAGGAATGTTTGCCACAGAGGTAAAATTATCTACGATGATAAAGAATGTTTGCCATAGAGGTAAAATTCTCTTCGACTGTAAAGAATGTTCGCCACAGAGGAAAATTTCTCCATGAAGGTAAAACACTGAAGTAAATTTCTTGACAGCTGAAAAGAAAGTTTGCCACTGAGGTGAATTTCTCCATGAAGGAAAAGGACTTGGAGTTAAATTGGCTTTGTAGAAAAAAACATTTGCCGCCTTTGCTACCCCAATAAATCATCTGCGGAGGCGACATATGATTGCTAATACTGTAAAATCTGCTATTAAATGATGCATTAATGTTTGCTGCCTCTGGCAAAAACATTAGCTTGTGGAGTTTAAATTCTCCATTGAGATTCTGGGCTCAAAAAATTGATCTCATATTCTAGTGTGAAATAGAGAATGTTTACTCTTGGGTACATAAATATTTACAATTGTCCCTGTTTAATGATGGAATGGCCACAAGGTAACGTGTTTACTATGTTGGCTTATAACAGTCTCTACTTGGAGAATAGCATTTTTTACCACCAAAGAATATCTTTTAACTAAACAATATTTTCTACCATCGAAGCAAAATTCCTATCAACAAAACAGTTTTTTTGTGGGCAAAAGTGCTCTTTTCTACCAGCAAAAACAGTCTCTTTCAAACTTTTTTGTCAGCAAAAACAACACCAGCTCGTAGGAAAATGACAAAAAACAGCTTATGGAACTCTTTAACTGCTTACAGGGGAATATCTGTTTGTTTGATGACTGAATTAGAGCTAGAGTTAGAGGATATAGTTTGGTAAGATGTGCATGACGTTGGTTCTGTGGAGTTTTAAAACATTTGTATTCAATTATTTTTCTTGTAGTGATTTCAGAGAAATATGAAAACAGGATAATTTTTCCCTCACAATATTCAAAACTGTCAATTAAAAAAAGGTGTGTTTTATTAAATGACAGCTCCAACAAAGGACTACGTATAGTTTTGCCACTTTTTAGCCCCCAAATTCATCAAACCTCATTCAAATCATTATTTCTTTAATTTTGAATACTTCATCAAGTACTCTTTGAAAACAAATATTGTGGTGTTTTTTTTACTTATAGTTTCCATGGAAACCAGTTGAAATTTGCACAAGCTAGAAAATTGAATATTTAATTAATTTTGTGAAGTTTGCATAGTTTTTTCTCTTGGAAACCATACAGTGTATGCTTGAACAAAGCTAATATCCAATGAGAATTTGTAATACATGTCGTACATAAGGTTATATGTAAGGATTTTTCAAGAATATGCTCTAGGGTTGCTGAGAAAAAAACAATGCAAAAATTACTAAACATTCATATTTCGCTATTAAACTAAAGCAACTTTTATCTACTTACCATCTCAACTGTGATTAACAATTATGAAATATTTTCATAGCAGTATCAACCAAATGTTGAAAACAATCATTTGAAAAGACAGATTTTAAATTCTGATGGAATCGGGGCCAAAAGGATACCAAATCATGCGCTGTCCTTTACAGTCAATCTTGAGATGGGTGTACACATTAGTTAACGGCACCCCACTCTCACGTAAATGTTACTTGTCGATGTGAGCTTTGGTGGGCACACTGTATTTGATAACACTTCCCTCGTCTAAGCTTGGCTGTCAATCGTGATAACTGGGCAGATTCTGTTGTATGACACGCCCCCACGTAATGTTAACTGTTTGTGGGAAGTGTATCTACCTTACATTCCATAGTTAAACAATGTATTTTCGTGTTGTGTGAAATATACTGGCAGCTAGAAGGGCGGGCCAACACTTGTCATGCCTCTCTGTGTGGCACATATAAAATACAGGAGGATTTGTAAACCTATTCATTTACTGTTGAATTTTGTTATTGAATATGAAATTTCTGAACTGAGCTGGTACCAATTTCTGAAGATACTGTAACAAGCTTTGACTTTGTGCATTGTTTTTTTGGTGTGTTTTTTTCATGTTGTGGCAGTAAAATAGTACCCAGGTAGTTGGAGCTGTTTTCTGTTTACACTTTTTCATGGTAAAGTATGTAGACTAGTGTTAATTGACTTGAAATATATTTGCTTTCATCTTATAATCACATTGCAAAGCAAGCAATCTGTATACATTAAGCTTGGTTTTAATTCTCTTAATGGCTTTTTTTGCTGTAGATTCATTTTTAGGTCACCTGAGACAAAGTTTCAAGTGACCTATTGCGATCGCCTTTTGTCCGTCGTCGTCCGTCGTGCGTCCGTAAACAATTTACATTTTCGACTTCTTCTCCAAAACCCCTGAACCAATTTCAATGAAATTTTGCAGGGACCTTCCATGGACAAAGGTCAACAAAATCAGTTGTCGGTTTAGTCCTAAGCCCCCAGGGGCCTGAGGGGCGGGGCCAAAAAGGGTCAAATTGACTAAAATTTCAAAAATCTTCTCCTCCAAAACCCTTGAACCAATTTCAATGAAATTTTGGAAGGGACCTTCCATGGATAAAGGTCAACAAAAGTAGTGGCCGGTTTAGTCCTAAGCCCCCAGGGACCTGAGGGGTGGGGCCAAAAAGGGTCAAATTGACAAAAATTCAAAAATCTTCTTCTCAAAAACCCCTGAACCAATTTCAATGAAATTTTGCAGGGACCTTCCATGGACAAAGGTCAACAAAAATAGTGGCCGGTTTAGTCCTAAGCCCCCAGGGGCCTGAGGGGCGGGGCCAAAAAGGGT